CCAAAAAAAAAAAAAAAAATTAAAAAAAATTAATCCCTGACACGGAAACGAACCCATGTCTTCTGACGTTCTGTAGGTGACAACGAACAGACGCCATTTGTCTCTCTTCGGGCAGGTAGGTCGTTTAACTTAATTAACGAGTGAAAAGTTGGAGGGCGTCACTTGCACTGTAGCGATCCTCTTTCTTTTCAGTAACACTTTTGTTTGTGGATGATTGGCGGGTGCTCTGGTGTGGTTTTCTCCTTCTTTCCTGTCAAATATCTATTAATCTATTGCCCTTATCTCCTCCATTTTTGTGTTTAATTTTGTTACTCTCTTGTAGCACCTTAATCATCGACACTTACTTGTATTATAGTATACTTCTAGCCCCTAATTGTGTTGCAAGAGTCGTTAAACCTTTTTTTAAAAATGTTTTTAAAAATCAAACCTGTTTTTTCCTACTGTCCAACAAATGCCCCATGCACTGAATAAAATAGGCGCTCATTCGGCCATGTGCTTCTCGTTATTCAAAATATACAAACAAACGAGCGAACATCCGCCGGGGCAGTGTCACTGACTGTAGTGTCTTTAGGCCATTCCCGAAGGGGGGGACATTTCTCGTTCATGCACAGTAGAATTGTAAATGGGCTGATTCATCATGTCACGCTCATAACTGTGCCTGATCTACAACAGAGATCTGCTGCTTTTTCTTTCCTAATCCTTACTATAGTAATTTTCCTCTACTTCTTTTGTATGTTTGTCACACTCTTGTGACCCGCTATTTCCGGGGTGCCTTGATAGTCTAAAGCTGATTTTGTGCTGTTGAAGCTAGAGAGGTGAACAGAGTAAGTCTCATTCCCCGTAAAGACTTCTCTGTTGACACCCACCCCTTGGCACTCATATGATCTTATGCAGTTGCGAGCGCCGTAAAAAACCCTCTACTAAAAATAAAAATAATTTTAAAAAACCCCAGAAAAAAACCATCCGCTGATTTCATTTGGATCCTCCTTGTTGTATTCTGTAGTTGTGCCACTTGCGTCGGTGGCCTAGTGGTTAGGCTCTCGGACTTGCAACCGTAAGGTCGTGGGTTCGAATCCCGTCA